CGAAAAAACGCATACGAAAATTTTGGACTCACAGTGTGCAAGCATAAGCCATATGAACTACTTTAATGGTGATATATTTGTTCTTTTTAGAATTTGAAAGTCATTGCATGACAAGAGCTTTAAAAAGTTTCTTCAAATAAGTTCTACTTTTTATGTTCCACAGAAAAAAAAAAAAAAAAAAAAGTATATGGGTTTGGAACGAATCAATGGTGAGTAAATAGCGACAGAACTCTTTTTAAGAATCACCACATTCGAGGTGCTGTTCTGAATAACACGTTTATTTTCCTGTCAAGGTAAATGACGGAATTGCTCTGACACCATAACAATTGTGTTTACTCCACTGCATGGTGGGTAACAGGAAAGCAGAATGCCAATCATCAGCAAACATGACGAAAGTCATGTGTTACAAATGTGGACTTATTTTCAGTTGCAATTCCATCCATTAATCCATGGCCGCAGGCTCCCTCCAGGCCCTCAGACTGGGAAAACGGGATAGAACCGAGCCTCACTGCACACTTTCTCCTCTCTCTCTCTCTCCCTCAATCACCGTGAAGGCGTCGAATGACCCAAGAGCCCCCAGTTTCTACCACATTCTGCCTGAGCGCCGAACTTTCTTCAAGTGCTGTCGAACCACTTAGGCAAATTGCCCCATTACGGACATCGGGAGAGTTGAAAGTCATCTCGATTCGTCGTGCAGAGCGCTTGAATAATAAAACCCCCTGAAGGTCGGATTTCTGTAAAAGAAGTTTAATGCTCATCCATATTCATACATATTCCATAGTTGGGGTAATCTGGTTGTCGTTTGATGAGGTCTTAGGGTTTCCCTAATGCCGTGTCTTATTGCTTTAGGACACGGGATCAGAGCGAACACACGGATGGCAGATTTACATTTTTTGGTAAACCATCCCTTTATAGGCAAGATAAAAAAATTTTACCCACTCAAAATTATTTACCTTTCTCTTCTCTTTTTTCTCATCTTTCTTGGTGAAGACGGTGTGAACCCACCAGATCTTGGTGAACATGCTGCCATAGGCTAAACTGAAGCCTAGTCCAAGCAGCCACAGGCGAAACTACGAGAGAATGAGAGACAGAGAGTTAATTTGGGAGCTCAGCTCCAAAGCAGCTATTCGTTTTTTACAACAAATCTTCGTCTTGCTCAAAGGTCAAGGCTGAATGAGAGGAAATGGCAATAAAAAAGTGAGTATAACATTTATGACACTACCTGGCACACCACGGGGAACTGTGATCTTTGGATATGGAGGCCATCGATGCCCAGAGGAAAGACAGCTGCTAATGCCAGCACGCAACCCACCGCCGTCATGTTGTTCAGATAGGGCTGAGAGTTCTGAATGTATCTGTCAGAATTAGTACAACAGACTACAGATATATTACACTGTTTCAAAATGAGAAATCCAAAACATTTTATGCTGGGCTGAAATATTATTTTGTAACAGTCATGGGAGCATTTAAAGGAGTCATAAAATCGTGAAAAATCTCATTTTCCTTTATCTTCTAAAATAAGAGTGTCACAACTTCAGTTTCCTCCCCAGTTCAAATTGGGTTTTATTAAAACCTTTATCCACGATCATTTCATTTCAGTCATAATGATTTGCATGCCACATTTTAGCACAGAGCATTTTATGAACCAGCCACAATGTGATCCAGCTTTGCAAACAACTTCTTAATTATTTTTGCTTTTCTTTTTCAGTAAAAAATATCTAATAACTTTTAAAATAAGATACAATTACGTGGAGAAAATATGTGTAAGATAATAACTTAATGACTTATTTTCAGGCAATATTTCTTGAAAAAATTATTTTTTTAATGTTCCAATACCACTGGCAAACTTATATATATAAATATATATATATATTAACCATAAACTTCAACACAACTTTGACAGATTTTTGCTTAAAACAATCTCCCTTTGTTAACAATGGGTTAACAAAAAATAAAAAATAAATAAATTAAATTAAATTAAATTAAATTAAATAAATGCTCAAGAAATAAAATGATAAAAATTACACACTGGAGGTGCGGTGTCATTAAAATAATTCAAATGGACAGAACTGACAGACTGACATACACAAAATAATTCTAAAATTACTTTTAATTGTAAGATTTTACTGCATTTTAGATCTCTTGCATGTGGATTTCTTATGAACACAGGATACTAACCTGACGCTACTGTTGTATATGTTGAAGGAAAGGCAAACTATGCCCAGAAGGATTCCCAGCCCAGCAAAGACAGACACTGATACAAAGAGCTTCTGGGAAAGGTAACGAAACTCCTCAATCACCTTGGTCTGGTCTGCCGGAGGGCCGAGGCCTATCAAAAGAGAAACCCGTCAGGAAATATCAGAGAAACCGAAAGAAACTCTGAAGCGCAGACAGAACGGATCGGCAGATAAGAACGTATAGATCACAACAACGTGACACTAGATGCAGAAAAAAATCAGAGATTGACTTCGTTGAGAGTTCGAAGAGCAAAGGCGAAGTATTCCAGCTTAGTTCAGAGAGTCATTAGCTACATCTGCGCTGTCACACTTCAGAAACACTTGACTTGGAGGGAATATTAACGGATTTTTTTTTACAGAAAATTTTCTGTGAAATAAGGCCAGTGGGCCGGTTTGACACGTCAAGTGTCTGGAAATTTTCAGGGGAAAAGGAAGCTCACAGCATTCACACATTAGCAAGACCAGACGGACTCTGACTTCTTTCACACTTTTCACACTTTTGGCGCTTGTTTTGGAGGAAAATCTGCAGAATTCTGTGAAACAGATTTAAAGATGTGTTAAATGGAGCTGGGAGTACTACACTTTCATTTCTAGCCCAAAGAACAAACAAATACACACAAAAAAAATTAATAAACAAACATACAAAGGACAAGGAATGTGTAAAAATTTGTGACTGAAGGTTATATTTCTGAGCTGGTGTGAGATCAGGGAGCCATTTGCCAGTTTCATTTTTTTGTTTGAAACTCTTGCAACAACAAAATGTTGCAAAATGAGAACAAATGTATATATCTGGGGGGATTTTTGATGATGGCATTTGGTATGAACACATTGTAAATGGCTTGTAAATAAGACATTTGGTGTACATGACAGGAGATCAAAGTGGGAGAGAGCAGGAAGACTAATGTCAATAAATGTGCATAAATATACTGACAAGACCTTTTCTTGCAGAGAAACGTCAATATCAATAGATTCAAATTTGAATGTTGTTATTTTTAATTAAGTTATCTGAAAACAGTGTGATGGACATTTTTGCTGTTGCATGGCATAATTTAAGTCATAAATTAGTTGAGAGAAATATGCCTATTATAATTAGTCAAAATAATTGATTAGTTAGTAATTATGTTTTATCACAAACTAAATTTTGTAGAAATTTAACGTACACTACCGTTCAATAGTTTGGGATCGAGAAGATATTTTAATATTTTTATTAGAAAGCAGCTCACCAAAGCTGCTTTACAGTAAAAACAGTAATATTCTGAAATATATTAAAGAACTGTTTTCTACTTTAATATATTTAAAAATAGAATTTATTTCTGTGATGGCAAATCTGAATTTTAAGCATCGTTACTCTAGTCTCCAGTGTCACATGATCCTTCAGAAATCATTCTTTTATGCTGATTTGCTGCTTTCTTATTATTATCAATGTTTCATATTTTTGCGGAAACTGACATTTTTTCTGAATTCTTTGATGAATTGAAAGTTCAACAAAACAGTGTTTATTTGACATCAAAATATTTTGACCATTACAAATATCGTTAGTCACTTTTGAACATTTGAATGCGTCCTTGCTGAATAAAATTATTAATAAATGTTTTATCACAAACTAAATTTTGTAGAAATTTAACGTACACTACCGTTCAATAGTTTGGGATCGAGAAGATATTTTAATATTTTTATTAGAAAGCAGCTCACCAAAGCTGCTTTACAGTAAAAACAGTAATATTCTGAAATATATTAAAGAACTGTTTTCTACTTTAATATATTTAAAAATAGAATTTATTTCTGTGATGGCAAATCTGAATTTTAAGCATCGTTACTCTAGTCTCCAGTGTCACATGATCCTTCAGAAATCATTCTTTTATGCTGATTTGCTGCTTTCTTATTATTATCAATGTTTCATATTTTTGCGGAAACTGACATTTTTTCTGAATTCTTTGATGAATTGAAAGTTCAACAAAACAGCGTTTATTTGACATCAAAATATTTTGACCATTACAAATATCGTTACTGTCACTTTTGAACATTTGAATGTGTCCTTGCTGAATAAAATTATTAATAAAATTCATACTGACCCCAAACATATAAGTTTATGGATGACATTGTTTGACTGAAACAAAATAGTTACGATCTACCAAATGTTGAATGAACATCAGTAAGAACCCCTACATATGATTCAAGATAAACTTAAAATTTCACAGGTCATCTATGTATCAATGTATCAATCTAAAATAAGTAAAAAGAGACAACACCAGTGTAAACTCATAGTAAAAGCATTATGTTCTCACTCCTCACAGTAATGTTATCACTGTGACTAAAATTACGAATTTACACCTCTCGCTGTTCAATCTGTCACTATAATTATAACCAAAAACAGGATCCCTGTGGGAACAATAATTACAGCGATGATGGCTGTCATGTGCATATAAAGCTATTTGAAAAAGACAAACAAATGACAGCGACTGGCAGAAATCTAACACTGAACGACAGTTAAAATGAGAGTATTTCTCTGTCAGAAGCAACCGTGTCATTACCGGGGACAGAAAGCTGACCGTGAGGGACATGTGTCCGTGAAAGACAGCTTGCCCTCGGCTTCGTCAAAAGTGACACAAGGTTTGTTGATACTTTTCCGAATGTCAGAATACTGATGGGTCAGGAGTGACACCTGACATTGGCTACTGCAATGTGGCAGCAATGCTGTGAGAGATAAATGTGTGTGTGTGTGTGTGTGTGTGTTAGAAAGCTCTGTCCTGTCAGTCGATGCATTCGCACAGTAAACCTTCCATCGTCCTTGATCTAAGAATCAGGACAGGGTGTTGCTATGGAGACCTGGCTTAACAACAGTTTCCAGAGCAATTTGGAAGAGAAAGTCATGCTAAAGTGGTTGTCAGGAGCGCCAAAGAGATTGCTGAAAAGCAAGGGCACTGCCATATGGTTCAAAAAGACAGAAGAAACAAAGTCCTGAGTTCTGACCCATGTTGTAAGTTTTAAAGGGCACGTTTTTATTTTAAGAAAGATTAGAAACTGCACAAATGCTTGAGAATCTCACCCGACGAATCCCGGAGGAGGTTCTGCGCTATTTGGACAGAACATCTGCTGCTTCTGCTATTATCAAGGGCAAAAAACGGCAAGCAATGTCACCAGCTTAATGCTCCGCTTTTCTCCATTGTGTGTGTGTGGGGGGGGGGCATGACTAAATAGGCCATAACTGTGTATTCAGTTTTTCTGAAAATAGCCGTGATTGGCTAAAAAGGATGTGCATTTGCAAATGAGGGAAGAAAGTTATTAAGTCAAATTAAGTTAAATGGCTTTTTGGATTTATGCCCTTTTGCAGTGCCTTTTGGTGACAGGAAGTTTCTGCAGAGAAAGTAAAGGAGTGGGATCACTAATTGCTATTTTTAATCAGTGGTCAGGTGTTATTAAATGAAGGAAGCATTTGTTTTAAACAGACAAAATTTTGTATAAGCCTTACTGGGATATTAGCCTTGTTTTTTAAATATACAACTATATTTAATTGTATACATATATTTGTATATACAATTAAATATATATTTATATACACATAAACCTTAATGTGCTCACCAAGGCTGCATTTTTTAGGTCAAAAACACAGTACAAACAGTAATATTGTATACTGTTACAATTTAAAATAACTGTTTTCTATTTTAATATATATTAAAATTTAATTTATTTCTGTGATGCAAAGCTGACTTTTCAGCATCATTACTCCAGCTCTTCTGCAGGGCTGGAAGATATGACTTAAAATCCAATCAAATCTTGATTAATTGAACATTTTACCTCGATTACGATTAATGAGTGATGATTTTATTTATTTACTTAATTTGTTTCCCTCATAGTTCACTGACAAGGTTTGTACTGTAAAAATGCTCAACTATTAAAGTAAATGCAAACTGTTTATGGTTATTTATTGAATATTTCGAACAATTGAAATCAAAGCACACGTTTCTTAAAATTAAAAGGTCTTATGAAAAGTCACATTTCAGTTTTAATGTAAAAAATATATTTTCGCATTAAAATATGTAAAAAGCATATTATTACGCTGCTCCTGTTGCTCAGATGACTCAGGTGTTTGAGTTCTCCTATATGTTGCTTTCATGCTGCTGACTGGATGGAGTAACGTGACTACACACGAGGTAGTATGTTTTTAAGGGGAAAGTCAGGGTTGCCAATTTGGGCTGCTGCCGCAGGTTGTTTTTCAGTCCGTTTTTTAATTAAACCAATCGCCCAACCCCTGAGCATAGTGGTTCAATGGATCACAAATCTCACGGTTCGGATCACATTACGGTTTAAAATTCGCTTGCTTGTGTAAATACGAACAAATGATAAGCTTATGCTCTATTATGGTTAAATTTTGCAATTAATCCGCGGATCACATGCGTGCCGAACCGTGGGGCTTGGTCCGTACGGATCACGGATCAACTACGATCCATTTAACCACTACCTTTTAGTGACTTTTTTAGTGACGTGACATGTGGCCAAGTATGGTGACCATACTTGGAATTAGTGCTCTGCATTTAACCCATCCAAAGTGCACACACACAGCAGTGAACACACACACACACCGTGAACACACACCCGGAGCAGTGGGCAGCCATTTCTGCTGCGGCGCCCGGGGAGCAGTTGGGGGTTCGGTGCCTTGCTCAAGGGCACCTCAGTCGTGGTATTGAAGGTGGGAAAGAGCGCTGTACATTCACTCCCCCCACCTACAATCCCTGCCGGTACGAGACTCGAACCCGCAACCTTGGTTACGAGTCCGACTCTCTAACCATTAGGCCACGACTACCTGAACATGATTATATTGGAGGAAGGGGACACACAACGGAGGGGAAAACTGCGGGAAAAAATGAGATTGGGCTAGTTTTGGTCTTGTTTTGAATAGCAATCGGGCTTGTTTTGTTTTGCGGACCTGGCAACCCTGGGGAAAGTATTAACAGGTTTAAAAAAACGAAATAACCGACATGAGAAAATTACGTCGGTTAATTACTTTTCTATTAATTGTCCAGCCCTAGTCTTCAGTGTCACATGATCCTTTAGAAATCATTGTAATATGCTGATTTGCTACTCAAGAAACATTCCGTGTGATTATCAATATTGAAAACTTAGTGTGTCATTTTTGTGTGTGTGTAAACCGTGGTACTTTTTTTTCAGGATTCTTGGAATAGAAAGCTCTAAATGACAGCATATATTTCAAATATAAATTTTTGCGACAATGTGAAAGTCTTTGCTGTCACTTTTGATCAATTTAATGCATCCTTCCTAAATAAAAATGTTAATTTCTTTAAAAAAATTAAAAAAATACTGACCCCAAATGGTATATTGTGTGTATATATATTTTTTTTTTTTCATACCTAATTTACTGTAATTAATTTTATCACACTGAACCTTACTATAAAGCATTGTATTTAAAGTTACTCTTGTGACCTTTTAGGAGGATATTAGCATATAGATGGTCTCAAAAATAATAGACATTGGACTAAAAGCCACAAAACTCCCATCCCACAGAAAAAGAATTAACTATATAAACTAACTATATAAATAACTTTATATGTAGCTAAAGTATCTAAACACACTCTCTCACTTTATAGAACCCAACCAACAAAAAGATAATAATAATAAAACCTTCAGAAATTTTCACATCTGAATGCATTTCATACACTTTGGAAACACTGTAATCACCCTGTCAGATACAGTCAATTGCAGTGTTCAGTCACTAAGCTGACACTGACATCTATAATAATCTTTCACTTTTTCCAAAATTTCTGCCTGCAGCATTGATCTTCACCTTGTAGCCATTCAGAAAACAAGTTCTAGTGAAGTGTGAGGTCATTACTCGTCTAATGTAGGGCAGCGCTGCTTTGTTACCGTCACGCTGGTGGAATCCACTCAATGGGATCACAGCATGAAGGATTGATTAGAGCCTAAATCAAGAATGACTCACAGAAGAGGACCGGGCAAATCCAGCAAATAATCGCCTCTGTATCCCTTGGGTGAGAAAATACAGGATTTTGGTGGCGGCAATTCAATTCCCATTTCTTGGCAGAAAACCAATTTTTGGGGTAATAGGGAAGGCACTGATTGGTGCTTTTGTTAATGATTCACTAGAATAGTATCCCGGCATCCATGCAGAAACAGGAGCAAGTTGAGCGACAACTATGCATTTTTTATCGAAGCTATTCTTAGGGTGACATTGCACCTGACAGGACGCTTTTAAAAGTAAAGTGTTTCTTTTGCTTTGTTCACGCTGCATTTTTAGGACTGGCTGCCCAAAAAGGCCAATGGAAAACTGAAAATGATTTCACAAGGCGCATGACACAATAAAAAGCGTCAGAGGCATTTCTGTACTATTTACACATTCATGCATATGCTGAGTATGAAACCACACACCCGTTTGCTCATTCAGTACACTCTAAATGCAGTCAATGTGAGCATAAATAAGTGACACTGCACTTTGTGTGACAGTCACACAGCATCCTGAATGAGGAAAAAAAGTACTTCATCTGATCTGATCATTTAGACTGAAACATATTTCTAAAAATATTATTATAATCATGTTTCAGACAGCATTTAGATATTAGATTGGGTTGCACATTTTTTTATTTCCCCACAGCTATTCTGAGCTGTGACATTAAAAGCAGCAGAAAGGGAAAAAATACAAGTCAATTTCACTAGACTGGTAAATACTAAGAATTTACTAAATACTAATCTAAATACAAAGAATCCTAAAACAACTTAATGGATCGGAGTCAAAGACGTCAAAAAATTGGATTTTTGAACAAAACCTTGGTTTACCTTTCCACAAGAAGATTAAATTACTTTTTCAATTTCACACTCTTTCCTACACGTTGTACTTTCCCATTTATCGGTGAGCATCATCACACATTTTCATTTGATCCACTCTGCGCCTTACATCTTCTTTCATCAATACCAGTTTGTCAATCGAGCAAATTCACAGAGCTGCACAAAGGTCAGAGCGAGCCGTGAACGGCACCGCGGCTCCACTTCTCCGCTCCCCTGGGCCTGTATGGCCTCCTCTAGCAGAAACGACAGCTAATTGTTAGCGATGTATTAAAGAGCGCGACAGGGCTTTGTTGAGCTAACAGAAATCAATACTGGTAAGCCTCAATCTCGACGGGCCGAGTGCGGCTGTGAAAGGTAATGGGAGTGGAATGGACAGAGCTGTCTCGACGAGCAGAAAAAAGGCTGGTTTCTCTTACCAATCCATTTGTCATTTCCGTACCAGGACAGGTTGCCTTTTGTGCTGTCATAGTATCCAATCTTCTTGTAGCTCCCACCTGAGGGAAAAAAATGCAAGAAGTTAAATGAAAGACGAGAAACGCCTGAAAGAAAAGTGTATATGAAACCATCTTCTTCAGCCTTGACCCCAAACAAAGAGACCCTCATCTGTCCATGAATTCCTTTTGTACTATAGACAATGTAATGAACAATGTAATGTTTTTAAAGGCTTGTATTAAAAGTCTTGTGTAAATATAGCATGTAATTAACAGCGTGTCAACTAAAGGTCACATTAAGAAAACTTGCTTGCACTAAGCACTGCAATAAAAGCTTCAAAAGAGGCCTGACTCGACAAATCTGGAAAAGTAGTCGACTTAGAGCTGCATCAACGGGTCGGGGAAAAAAACAAGCCCAACTGCATTGATCAAAGTTAATCTGAAAGGCAACATATTGTAGAAAAACTTTGCTCTTTGGATATCAAAGACTTTGATGTACTATGTAGACAAACTTTCGCAACACAAAACTTAAGACTCTCTCACTAGTCCAGACAGGAAATTTGGGTAATTCAGAAATCTTTAACACTAAAATACGACCGCAGACACAGTGAAGTAATGAGGAGGAAGTAGGATAAATGGGCTTTTCTTTAACTACAGGCAGTTTAGGCCCTTTGGACTTTTAGAAAGTTTCTTTTAGACATTTTATTTCTAACATATAGTCACTTTTCACACTCTAACTAGTTTAATTTGTCTACTAACAATGTCCAACAGTGGACATTGACACATCATAGGAGAATTTTGTCAGTTTGTCCCCCCCATCACAGTGTAATTTCTACCACAAATCAAATTATGCATTCAATAACACACTTAGTTGGCCTTTTATTTTATGATTATAAGATATATATATATATACATACAGTGCTGGGTAGATTACTTTCAAATTGTAGTCAGTTACGGATTCCAAATTACATGACAAAAATTTTAGTTAGTAATGTAATCCATTACATTATACATTTCAGGGAACATAATCTGATTATTTTTTGATTACTTTTGGATTCCTTTTGACCTAACTCGTTTATCACATTGATTTAAATAGGAAAACCTTGTACCATTTTGCTATAAAAATGCAAAGAGAAAGCAAAAACATTCCATTTGTTGTTATTAAGAACATGAAGTGCATAAAACGTCAAGGTTTCACAAACTGGGCTTTGTGAAAAAATTTCAGGGGGTTTGTGAGTTTAATGAAAAGCTGATAATTAATTAAATCATAAAAATGTAAAGCAAAAATAAATCCTTTTAAAACAACAATAATCAAAATAAAACGCTAACTTTTTTTTTTTTTACCTGCATGTCACGTGACCTTTACCCAACTTTAGAAAACAGGGAACATGCAAATGTTCATAAATCCAGTGCTGTGTGGCGTCTCAATTTTCTGAGTAATTATAGCCACCTGACTGGTCTTTGTGTGAATGTCCTAGAAGACTAGAAGACTTCTGAATAAGTGGTGGTCTATTTTAGAAAGGAAAATTTAAAAGATTAAAAAGATCAATTAAGAAGAATCAATCAATTCTGAAACATTTATTGCTATTGTGTGAATAATATGTAATCATATAATCAATAAAAAGCAACTATAGTCTGATTACGAGTATTTAAAAATGTAATATAATCTAATTACAAGTACCTAATTTTTGGAATTTGATTACATAATCCAGATTACATATAATCAGTTACTACCCAGCACTGTATATACATATGTAATATATTTATATATACTATACATATACAAGTATGCACATATATACAAGTGCACATTCAATACAATTCAAAAGGGTGGTGGAATTTTTTTTCTATCCAGCTAAGCAAACATCACAGCTAAAAAAAAACATTCAGTTGACTGGGAACAATAAAATACTAATTTACAACAGTAGAACTGTGTGGTAGAAATGATGTCACAGTTATTACAATCATAATCTTTGAAAAAAAAAAAAAAAAAAATTTTTCCAAAAACAACTTTAACGTAAAATATTGAAAAAGTGTTTATTGGTTATTCTATCATAAGTGAACAATTATACAACACCACAAAAATGTAGTATGTGACCCTTTTAAATGCAGTTAAGTGCATTATTATGTTATCGTCATTATCTTCTACATCAGTTTTAGGGATTTCAGTTTTTTTGTACCTTGCAGTTGCTCAATGAGAGTCCAGGCCATACGTGAACCTTGAGCATCAAACACGACATGACCCTACGAAACACAAATGCATAAATATAAAAAGTTGATACAAAATCATCATTTATGAAATCCATTTGTGACTCATCATGAAAACAGAAGTATAAAAGGCAAAGATCTGTGGAAAATAAAGGCTGAATCATCCCATAATGAGTTTGAACTCATTGTTATCATAAAAATGTGATCATCTGAGACTGATGAGTGTCTCTACGAGTTTAAGATTTAAAAGGCTCTCTGACAGGTCTGAGAAATTATCGTCTGGAGTATTTCATCTCATTGTTATCTGACAGCTATTTCTGCCGTTTTTCAGAAAAGTTATTCATCAACTCACAGACACTCCTTCAAACGAGCTGGTGTTGAGGGCTCGGTAAATCTCAGCAGTGATTTCCTTGTTGTTGTAGTTGAAATCCTCCAATGCCCAGCCTTTGGCCCTCAGAGGGGCCACCGTTTTATTGAGGGCCAGTGCAAGAGCCCACACAGCATCATACGCCAGCGGAGCTTCCTGAAATCCACCCGTTTCTTCCGGATTCTTCCCCCCAAGACGTGACATCAGCTGGGCCAGGAACTCTTGGGAGGTCTGTGGAGGGATTTTTATAGACAGTTTTAACATAAGCATGATCCAATGTAAAAGTCCTTGTCTGAATTAATCATAAGATCCACTCACCAGGTTGGAGGCACCGCGGACGGTCTCCGGGTTTAGCATGACGATTTCAGTAGTGACGTGCCCTTCCACGGCTTCCGTCATGTTCTCCACTGTGCAATTGATGGCTGGATCTTTGATCTTAAACCAGTTGTCTGCGTACCAGCCGATGAGGAACCATACGTACTTCTTACCATAGAGTTTCTCTTTGAAGACCTGCCAAAGATGACACCATGTTTTCAAGGTTTGTGCTTAAGCAATAATCTTATTCAATATTTTAATCTCAGTTAAGCCACAGTGAGTTAACTCAAACTGAGTAGAAACATCGAGCTGAACTGATATAAATAAATTGACAGTTCAGATGTACTTGTAAAAAAAGAACTGTAATTGTCACTTGCCTCGCAAAACACCTTTCTGGCTTCAGTCTCGTAAAAGAGGCCGACTATGATTCTAGCATCTTGACGCTGGAAACGTATTAGAGAAAAGAAATCAAGACACAGAAACATCACACAATGTGTCACTAGCCTGATTTACATCCACATATTTTATGCAAATTTGGGGTCATGCATCAAAACACTGGATGGAAACGGCATTAAAGATATTTGAGAATCAATTACAATTTCTTTCTTCATCATTTTCCCATAGGTGGAAACATAGCTACAGACAACAAATAGCAAGAATGATTATTAATAATGACTACCACAGTTTATTAATTTATTTTTAATTTATACTAACACTGACAGTATACTAACACTAACATATAGAATAAATATATATAAATATTATATTATATTGATTATATATAAATTCTGATTTGATCAGCTGCAGTTAAAGCTGCTATGTTGTTTGGTAACCACAAACAGCCTATAATGAACTACATTAGTTGCTAGGATTATTTTTTATTTGGATAACTATTTATTATAAATATGACTCTCTATTGAACATTTCTACATAAAAGCAATAAGCCACTTGAGTATGTGGGTTACGCTGATTTAGTCATGTGTAAGAACACTTCTTGTGACTTCCTGCTTTAGTTTACTCTGTTCGTGACATGCTTTAAAGGTGAAGTATGTCATTTCTGAACCATTAGCATTACCAAACAGAATAGCACAAATAATGACAATTTTCAAAAAGCTTTCCTAAACATTTCCAAGAGAAATCATACAGGATTCCTTATAGTTCTCTCTGCATATTGATGTGAAAGGAGAAAATATTGTAGCAGTGAAATTACACACATGACCTTTAAAAACATTGAAGATTTGATATTTGGCGGAATTATATAAGGCTAGGCATAAGCCAAAATATTTTAAGCCAAGCATTTAAAAAGACAGTCTCATGAGATCTTCATGCAATATCATTTTACAATAAAAAGTGCTGTCTAATTATTCAATAATAACTGTCAGCAGCGACCGAGACAATATCCGAACCGTCACTTGATCTGACAGAGGGGACTGATCCTTCAGACTGTTGATTTATTTCACATAAGATTTTCATGCGCTCTGCCTGCTAGCTACCCGTCACGGGCTGAGGAGAGGAAGTGAGCGGCTGGTGAATTTTTCATCAAAGCACCTTCAGGTTTTTGACAGCCACTGCGGGATCCGTGAGGAAGCTCTGTCTAACGCTTATCTCGATGCCGGCCTCCTTCACACGCTCCTCCAGATCATCCAAAGTCTGGAGAGAGAAAGAGAGAGAGCAGGAGTGACAGGACAGGAGTGATGTTTGTGGAGAGCGGAGGACAGACAAGAAGAGCGCACATGAAAAGATCAAGGAGCGAGTGAAAGAGAAGAACAAAAGGAGGCCATGAGATGAATGGTCAAAGTGCATACCAAAGTAAAGGAAATAGAGAAAAAGAACACAGTCCAGAAAGAAAGGTGAATGGAAAAAAGATGGGAGATATGAGCTCCGTTACAAAACCCTTTTTAAGGTGATATAAGTGCACTCCGGAAACAAAATTATTATCCAAAAATATTTATGCTTTTTATAATATATAAATAATAAAAAAATACTCATAATTCATTTAATATATAATAGTATCCTCAAGTATCATTAAAAAAAGTTGTTAACTATAATATAAACATCAGGGTTATTATTTTTGTTAACTAAAACGAAAACTAACATCAAACGCATTAAAAAAAAAAACATTTTCATTACATTAAATAAAATTAACTTATTTTATTTCAGTTAGTTTCCAAAGCAACATTTCTAATATTACAAATCAACAGAAAACTGTATAGACATATTTAAATAATAATAATATTAATGCCAAAAACACACAACAAATGACTCAAATTAATTCAAAATATTAACAACAACTATAATAGTGTATCAATAACAATAATATAACAGATTAAAAACTGATATACATAATATAAACTTATAATATAATTCAAATGTATTAAATAGTTAATCAAAATATTATATATAAACAAATGAATAGATATACTCATGATTCTTTCAATATATAACTATCAATAAAAATAAAAATAGTTAACTATATTATAAAAATGGCATGAGTGTATATCATTACATTTCATTACATGATTGATATATTCCCTCAGGAGTGTTATTTATGATGCCTATGTAGAGCTTTGCAAATCACTCTATGTAGGCAACGAGGCAGTGTATTTTTGAAAAGGTGCCAACGAGACACCCGACATCAATGAATGGCGGAATATGGAGAAAGAAAGAGGATGTGAACAGGAGAGAAGGACTGGGATGAAAGTAAATGAGAAAAAGAGATGAGCTGGTGAAGAGATGGAGGGGGATCATTAGCCTAGCGGAATTACACTAGCTCAATATTGAATCCACGCACGAGAGATTTATGACTTGGTCAATATTCCTAGCAGCCAACATGAAGAAAAATTACTTTAAGAGTCCTTCATCACTTAAGGAGAGAATAATCAACCACAGTCTTTGCCATTCACTCTGAGGCATTAACCTTAGAGTAAAGAGGCAGCTAAGCTCACTAACAGTTTTAAGATGCACAGGAAACCACTTTTCTGGAAAATGACTTCTTTTAAAAGGGTCATGCCATTTTTTTTTACATTTAATTTCCCCCTGAGGTCTACTTATAGCGTTCATCAAAGTTTTTTGCGCAAACACAGTCATAATTTATTTTTCATGACCATTTTCCATTTTCAATTTCTTAGTGACCTTTCAAATTTTTATCCCGTTTTTTTGTTGCTGTGTGTTTAAAGGGTTAGTTCACCCAAAAATGAAAATTCTGACATTAATTACTCACCCTCATGTCGTTAAAACCCGTAAGACCTTCATTCATCTTCGGAACACAAATTAAAGATGTTTTTGATGGAATCTGAGAGCTGTCTTTGAGGCAGACAGAGAAATACTGTTTTTTATTTATTTATTTTTATTATTATTTTGCTGGAATAGGGTCAAATGTCATATGGCATTCATAAAAAAAATACAATTCAAATGTTTTATTTGAAAAACAATTCAGTTCAATTTTAAGCTCTCAAATAAATCTAGACTATGTCTGTATGAGGTTTCTACCAGCACAGATGGGTAACGTCAAGTAAATACAATTACACAGCCTCCCCTCTACAGGCACACTTCTATTGTTCTCCCCTCCTGAGAATATTACACTCACAATAGGAAAGTAGTGTGGGAAACACTTCCGTGCTCCCAACTCACATGTTCTGGAGTCAATGGAGATGACCTCCCTAACAACAGCAAGCCTTTCATCCTATCTTTTCCCAGGGGCTGATGCAAGTGTGTGTGTCACTGAACAATTAGACACGCAACAAGTGGAGTCCAAAAGTCTACATGGAAAATTCAGGATTTAACATTTTATTTAAATCTGGTAATTAACAGGAAACTTTAGGATTTTGAGAAAAAACAAAGAAAGAAACAAAATAGCATAAAAAGTATTTCAGAAATATTTCAGATTCTACACTATTTCTAAGTCACTATTCAAGTACAGCTGGTCAGATGTTCCTCCATTAAAGATTTTGTTGAAAAATGAAAAATTCTGTCATTAATGACTCAAGAAATTGTTGAATAAAGTTGTTATTTTTGTTTTCTTTGTGCATAAAAAGTATTCTCGTAGCTTCCTAAAATTACGGTTGAACCCCTGATGTCACATGGATTATTTTACCGATCTCCTTGCTACGTTTCTGGACTTGAGAACATTTCAGTTGTATTGCTGTCTATGGGAGGGTCAGACCGCTCTCAGATTCCATCAAAAATATCTTAATTTGTGTTCCGAAGATGAACAAAGGTCTTATGGGTTTGGAACGACATGAGGGTGAGTAATTCATGACAGAATTTTCATTTTTGGGTGAACTAACCCTTTAAGACTTCTTTGCATGTGAAATGCATTACAATACTGTGATACAGCCTCTTTGCGAAGCTTGTACTACATTGTATGTGCTGTGAAAACTGTTAAGATCTTTTCTAATGATAGTATATGCAGAGTTGTAGGTGCTCCACACAGCCAAGAAGACATGGTAGGATGGATTTTACTACATTTTCCCCTCATTATTAGCTCTTCGGGTGGTCAATGCATATTTTGGTGTTTAGTAATAACACTTGCCCATCTAGTCTACTTCCTTCTTCTGAGCATGTCAAGTCACTAAACACAAAAAAAAACAAGCGTTCTATGTAAATTTATGTGGATTTTTGCACGTTCTGAGTTTCTTAAAGTTTCTGTTTAAAGGGTTAGTTCACCCAAAAATGAAAATTCTGTCATTAATTACTCACCCTCGTGTCGCTCCAAACCGTTAAGACCTTCGTTCATCTTTGGAACACAAATTAAGATATTTTTGATGAAATCCGAGAGCTTTCTGACCCTGCATAGAGAGCAACGCAACTGAAACATTCAATGCCCAGAAAGGTAGTAAGCACATCGCTAAAATAATCAAATAGAACGTGTCAAAGACTGACAGGGAAGAGAAGGGATTGTTGAATAAAGTTTTTATTTTAGTTTTCTTTGCGCACAAAAAGTATTTTCGTAACTTCATAAAATTACAGTTGAACCACAGATATCACATGGACTATTTTAACAATGTCCTTACTACCTTTCTGGGCCTTGAGTGTGGTAGTTGCGTTGCTGTGTATGCAGGGTCAGAATGCTCTCGGACTTCATCAAAAATATCTTAATTTGTTTCCCGAAGATGAACGAAGATCTTATGGGTTTGGAACGACATGAGGGTTGAGTAATTAATCCGAATTTTCATTTTTGAGTGAACTATTCCTTTAAAGTTTCAAGATGCATTTCACACAGTGAGCTGTATTTGAGGTTTCACTAAGAGGACGGTCTCAACCAAAATCTTATTCGTCACCAGAAATCTTCAGAACCTGGTAGCAGTTGAAAAAGCACAGCATGAATATACAGAGTATGATAAATAAAAGAGAATGTTTTCGATGTAGGACTGACTGAGGTAAAGACTTCAGTGGTCTGCTGGATGGTGGCAATCTTTGTCCATCCCCACTTCTGGAAGAGCCGCACACGTGTGGGATTATGCAGAGTTGCTGACGGGTGCGTACGGAAGAAAGTGGGAAAGCGCTGGCGGTTGGATAAAGCTGGAGAACTGGAGCCGTATGAAAACTACAGAGAGACAGAGAGAGAGAGGGAGACAGCAGTTAAAAAGGTGGAAGGATAGAGAGAGCACACTGACTGGAAAGATTTACTCAGCTATATGGTTGACCTTATTTGATACCCCTGAAAAGAACGAAACACAAAGCAAAAGCAGAGCAAAAATATGAGTCAGATTTCTGCACACACTGGAAGAAGGGTAAATGTCAACCCAGTGAAGCCAGAAACCTGAATAAATAAGCCAATCTGTTTCTACATCCAATGTTGACGTGTCAGTACTTAGAAAGGCACAACGTAGAAATGCTAACTGCTTTCTGCTTCAGAAATAAACCTTTGTATTTCAAGCAATGAACCAGGTTGCCTGATGAAAAAGAATTAAATGAGTAGGCTACTTATTATAACACTTTATTTTAAGGTGTCCTTGTTACACGTTAAATGTACTTACTATTATAATAACAATAAATTATGCCTAATTATATGCAAGTAACCCTTAACCAAACCCTAATCCTAACCATAACCATATAGTAAGTACATGTAGTAATTAATATTACTCGGTACTTAAATGTATAATTACACTGTAACAAGGACACCTTCAAATAAAATAGACACCTTAAAATAACCCATTTTTAAAGTAACTGTACTTATAATGTAATACTTTACTTATTAAAACACCTCAGTTTACTTTTACTTTAAAGTACATTTTAAGGCATCATGTGTTAATAATATTTTCATGCTTTAAAGTAGTACACTTCGTTTGATATGTTGGCATAACACACTAAAACAGAATTTGATTATAATTTTAACTGTGTTATGCTATATTACATTTAATTTCATATATTTAAAATCTAATTAATTGCAACTTTATACATTAATGTAACATTACAAATGTGTTATTTTAATATAGCCTATATATATAAATAAATGATATCAACTTTCAATAGAAATAACAGAAACGCTGCATTACATACTGTATAAAGATGAAAAAAATGCACTTTAAAGGTCAAAAATGTATAATTTTACCATTTAGTAAAATTTTAACTAGAATATATTTTCATTTAACTGCAATTAACTCGCATTAAAGTGATGGAAAACATTACATTTAGTTTGCACTTAAAGGGTTAGTTCACCCAAAAATGAAAATTAGGCTGCGTTTTACTCACCCCCGAGGCATCCTAGGTTTATATGACTTTCTTCTTTCAGACGAATCCAGTCGGAGTTATATTAAAAATTGTCTTTGATCTTTCAAGCTGTTTAATGGCACTCAGCGGGTGTTGCATTGCTTCAGTCCAAAAGAACTTAAATAAAAAGCGCCCATCCATAAAAAAAAAAGTGTCTCACACGGGAACAAAGACCTCCTGTAGCGAATCGATGCGTTTTTGTAAGAAAAATAACCATATTTAAAACGTAAT